CTTATCTTAACATACTAAGAAGGTTAGGTGAGGTCGGTGTTTTCTATGAAGCTTTTCAAGGTAAACTAAAATATTCACAATTAGTATGTCACATATGCACTTATTAAATAAGCCAATATTGACTATAAGCAAGTGCGAGAACGGGTTGGGTGGTAAGGCCCCACGATTTGTGCAAATGCGGGTTGGACATATATATAAGCATGAATGGGTGGGAAGAAATAGGAGCTGCCACATACGAGCCAATAGGCCCTCTGCAGTTCCTCTGGTCTTATGTCCGTATGGTCGTATGCACAAGGGGACACAGGAAGAAGCAGAGTACCCAAAGGAGCCACATACACGAAAAAGAACCTGATCAATGTCAGAGGGGAAAGGAAGCGGAAAGCACCAAGAAGCTATGTGATGGAGGCAGACCCCACCCACAGAAGCAAACGTAGAGAAGACAGAGCCCAGGAGGCTCAAGAAACTGCACAACTGTCAACTGACAGGAGAGGCGGGGCCCCAAGAGCCAGAGCTCAACTCCTACAAGCACAACTAGGCAAGCACCCAACCGAAACGTGAGAACCAGCCCTTGGCCGACAGAGGCGCCAGACATGACAACCTCACCTGCAGAGCAGAGATACGACTGTGCCACAACACAGGCGAGCCAAGTAACAAACCAGGAGAGCGCTAATGGTGTGCCCGAAAGCCAAGCATACTCGAGGCAGTAGGCATGGTATGTACCGTTACCTGAATAAAACTCGTTAGTCGAAGGATAAATACGTCCAGAGGCGCGCGCCCCGCAGAAAACGGAGCAGTACAGAGGGGGAGGAGACAGCACCACGCCGAACCATCCCACACCTGGAAGCAGAGGAAGAACGAAGTGACACCTCCAGATATAAATCCAGAACACCCTCAGCATCCAGAGGGCTATGACCGGAGGGAGAAAACAAGCAAGAAGCAGTAGAAAAACCACGAGAAACGACGCGAACACACGAGCATACCGCCCATAAACAAAACGCACACCGCAGCCCCAGCACACGCGGGACTACGGGAATTAAACGTCACTTCGCTGGAAGACAGAAGAGTTAGGGGGGACATGATCACCACATTCAAGATTCTGAAGGGAATTGATAGGGTAGATAAAGACAGTCTATTTAACACAAGGGGAACACGCACAAGGGGACACAGGTGGAAACTGAGTGCCCAAATGAGCCACAGAGATATTAGAAAGAACTTTTTTAGTGTCAGAGTGGTTGACAAATGGAATGCATTAGGAGGTGATGTGGTGGAGGCTGACTCCATACACAGTTTCAAGTGTATAGAGCCCAATAGGCTCAGGAATCTGTACACCTGTTGATTGACGGTTGAGAGGCGGGACCAAAGACCCAGAGCTCAACCCCCGCAAACACAACTAGGCGAGTACACGCGGTACGAATGCACCACCCGTCCACCGGGAGGCGTGGCTCGTACACACGGCGGACACACACAACGTACGGACACACCGTAAACACACATCGTACAAACACCAGGAAGGCATGCGTAACGAAGAACGCTGAAAATGGAAGGAGAGACGACGCGAAAACAAAGCAAAAGAAAACAGATGACGGAAGGTAACCAACGAGGCCGACAAAAGACCAGAGGGAAACCACATCAAAATCAACAGACGTTCCAAAAATATTGGAAGGTACGAAGAGACTCGCGAACCAACGAGAACCACAACAAGCCCCCCTGATCAAGGGACACGCAGGGACGATACAAAGTGGTTTAGGTATTGTATGTACTAGGTCAATATATAAATCCATCAAAATGTGTTTCACACCTTGTATGAATGTACCTTACCTGAATAAAAATTCAATTTTTTTTTCCCCGGAACAGTATCGCGACGTAAGAGCGAAAAGGGTAAGGGAAAAAAGGGGCGAAACACACCCCGAGAAACGACGAGACCGACGAACCCGAAGGAACACGGAACCGAACCCATGGAGGGGTATACCCGAAAACAACAGGAACACAGAGAGGGAAGGAACAACCCCACTCCGAGGAACTGCCAGCCCCTCACCAAAGGTACAAAGACCCAAGAAGGGCAAACGGGGCCGAGGCCCCCCAAGCAACCCCTCCCTAACCCCGGGAACCTCGACGGCATGACCCGGGGCCGAGCCGCACCCCCAAAGCCCCAGCTTGACAAGGAAAAGCTGGGGCAGCCATGGAAACACTAAGGCAGGGAGCCCACTGGTCAGACCCATACTGCACAGCTGGAGGAACCGACTCTTAATGCCTCCGCCGCCACCCCAGAAGAGGAAACCCCCGAGACCGCCCGAGTCTCAACCCAACCAGACCCTGCCCCAACCCCGAAACCCGCCTATGGTTCGGAGCAGGAAGCAAGGGAGGAAGTGTGTAGAACAGAAGGGGAAGGACAAGGAGCGAAGGAGCCAGAGCCGAAGCGACCCCCACCTCCAAGTCCGGACCCCAACCACCAAAACGGGGCAGCCTCGGAGCATCCGGAGCCACAAACAACCAAGAGTGTCTCAGCAATCTGCAACCAGCAAGCAACGCCGCAGCCGCTTGCACCCGATTATCATGACCAGTGGCCTGGGTGAAAGAGAGCATGTACCGACAACACCCGTCGTACGACTCCGGATCACAAGAAACAGTGACCCAACAGGCAGCATGGCGGAGGCACAACCGGTGAGTGTCACCCTGAGACAAGGGGACAGATCAACCTTCAAACTCGCAGGATGCGAGGGGGACTCCGGGGACACATCTAGGGGACCACGGAGCCCCCGTGGGGTTTCCCAGGGCCCTTAGACTTTGGTACACGCTAAGGGAAGCCCAGGCAGGGTACCGCGAACCAGCGCCCAATTCTACCAAAAAACTGCTAAAGCTGAACCCCCGGGACGTGTCCACTCACGGGGGCCAAGCGAGGAGTATCGCCTGCAAAAGAATTCGAAAGAAATTCACCTAGAACAGGAAAGGGGGACCATAGTAAAAGCAGACCCCCCACCAGGCAAAAACAAAAACAAAAGAAAAACCTCGCAAGAGGACAAAGTTCCCAGGCGGAACAGAGCCGGCCGCTGTTATGGTGAAAACTAGCTGTGCAGTACCCCGCGCCCTTACCAGTGACGAAAACTACCACCTACCTAGAGACAAACCAGGGCAACAAAACCCCAGCCGACTCCAAGAGCGGCCCAGTACCGAGCAGTAAAGGACACAGCGGAGGTAGAACCGAAGGCGACTTGTGGAAGGTGGCCCCAAGCCCCAAGGGCAGTACTTACAGGGCACCTCGGGAAGATAGCCCTAGGCGCATGCAGCCCGAGTACTGTGGAATCTTACTCCTGGCTCACAGCCCACCAGTAGACACAGTCCACACCACAAGACACAGAACTGAAACAAAAACCGGAGCCAGAGGCACTCGACCAGCCAGTAATTCCATTAGCCATGAACTGCCAGTTGGATCGCCAGCATGGAGTCTCTGGGGCTACCCCTTCCCCCTCACGGGGAGGAAGGGGTTGCGCAGACGGTGCCGCAGCGACGTGATGACGTCATGCTAGTTAGATAATTTTGTTTGGAGAGTTCTGTCCACTCGTTCAGCTTTCGGTAGCAATATTTTTACCAGAATAGGTGTTTGTTTTGGGGCGTCTACCTTTCTGGGTGCCTATCCCGGTCGATGGCAGACATAAAATGCTCCCAACCACAAGGGGGTTTCTATAGGCCATTGCTCCTCGTGCCTCTCTGAGGGGGCCAGGTCCTGGCTCGTGGTCCCCGGTAGACAAGAACTCCTAGCACTTTGACTGATGCCAGAAAGTTATACATATTCATTCAGCCTGGATAGCTCCGGGGAGCCGACGGGGTTCCCCCCAGAAAAGCTGCCAGAGAAATATACAAAAATTCACTTTTGTAAACAGAGTGGTAGACGGTTGGAACAAGTTAAGTGGGAAGGTGGTGGAGGCCAAAACCGTCAGTAATTTCAAAGCATTATATGACAAAAAGTGCTGGGTAGACAGGACACCACGAGTGAAGCTCTCATCCTGTAACTACACTTAGGTAATTACTACTTCCCTCCCTTCCTGCCTACCTCCTAGCATCTCTCTCTACCTCCCCACCCCCTCTCATACTGCCTCCCACCTATGCTCCCCCATCCATTCACCCACCAGTCAGCCATCACTAACGCAATGCGTGCATTTGAAGTCAACACGGTGCACAGATATTTCTTGATTGTGCAGATATGTAAAACAAAATCACAGAATGAACACTCCAGCTTCATGACAAATCAAAATAATTTGAATAATAGGCAGCACTGGACCATCTCCCACCCACCACCATGGGCCGGCGTGACGCTTGGCGGACCACTTCCTACCTGAACTGTGTTCATGTAGCATGACTCCCCAACCCCAATTGAGAAACTGGAAGTTTCAGATAACTAAAGTCAGAAACCAAGTAGTGCTCTGCACGACACACTAAGTGTAAAGAGTTCGTAGGCCATTGATCCCTGTGTCTCTCTGAGGGAGCCGGGTTCTGGCTTGTGATTCCCAGTAGGTACAAGGACTCCTGTGACTGACCCCAAACTATTATAGCACATATTAATTTGAATAGCTTCAGGGAGCAAACCAGGCTCCCCCACAGAAACAATCCTTTAAATAAATATGTAAAATAAATATGAGACATTGAAATACGTAAAAATACCTTTGTGGGAACTCCCACCCCACCTCATCAAAATGCATTGCTATCACAGGGTGTTTGCTCCATGACCTCTCATGAATTGTGACGTTATAGTATAATTTTCTGGCTTCACTACAGCCAAAGTATGCCACATACAATATTCTCTCCCCCCCCCCTCTCCCTTCATGATTAGGGAATGTATTTTAACAATATTTAAGGGAAACAAACTTTTTAAATTAACTTTTCACAAGCACAGGGTTGTGTTTCGTATAAATAGAGGTGCAGCCCACATGTTAATACCACTGCACTATTATACACTTGTGACATTGTTGACAATTTTCCCCGACAGGTTTTTTAGACAAACATACTTAGTATCACTTTATATACCGCCAGCTTTTGAATGGAATATTTATTCTTCTCTCCTTTAAGATTGTACTGGGACCACAATTTATCAGTTCCCAGCTTTTCCAGCATCCCATGAACCGTGAGACTATAACGATGACTACCAAGTGAAATCAACAATGCCAACTGTAAAAAATAAAAACAGGAAATCAGTAAACCTAAAATATAAAATATATATACCAAATACAATATAGTATATTATTGTGGTTTCTAAAGATTAATAGTTTTAACATGATACAATTCAATAATAGTAGGGCAATGTAGATAGGCATCTTCAGTCACCTATGCTATAATGCAAAACACATGAATACAGTAATAATTAGAATGACTGCAATCTATGAGTATTACTCACACATTCAACAAAATGTTATCTAACAAATGTATGGTATTCATATATAAAATAGATAAACACACATACCAAGACTTTATTTCTCCTAACTTTATGTGTAATGAAGGGCAAAAATGTTTCAACAGCTCCAGAATGACATTTCCAGGCTGCTGCAGACTCAAATTATGGCTTGAATACCAATTTCAACCCATATGAATTGAATGAGGATGTTAATCCTTAAATAAAGGCGGTTACCATATTACATATCAGGGGCAAACAGTTTACTTATATCACGTGACAAAAGAAATATCAGGCCATAATTTTCAGAGTGCAGCTGGCTTACATGTATCTGACAATTACTAAATGACTCTGGCATCTTGCTCACCACAGGAAAACAACCAGCTGAATGTAACGAATGTAATGAAATGCTTCTTTCAGATGGGTCTGTAGTAGCTTTCCCTGTTGCTAGCTGCTCGGGTTAGCTCCTCACCTATCCCGTCACATGAGGCCTTTGCTAATAATTAAAAACCCATCAGAGACAACACACCAACACCTGATCTGGTTTTGGCATCTGGTCTCCAAAACCCTAGCTAAGAAAATACCTACCAGAGACAAAACAGATAACAGCAAAGTAAAAGTAAACAGTAAAGAAAACTAGACACAGCAGTTAGGTAGTTCATCCGCTAGTTTCACTTCCCCACCCTAGCCAAGTATTTAACCCTTAAATGGCACTAATTATATACACAATAGACCCCCAATTCTGCTTACCTCAGTTCAGGGAATCTCCGGTTAGGACACGCAGTATTATAGGGAACTTAGAAATTTTTTTTAATGAGTTTAATTGGAGAGATTTGTTACTAGGCAAGTAAAGAAAGTAAAAAGAGATGTATGCAAAAATTTTACGAAATATACAATTAAGACACAAACATTCATACCAAAACAGAGATACAGAACCAGAAAACAGGATTAGTTCAACAGAAATTGTGAGACAGCCTCCAAAGGATACCTGATCAACCAGGCTGTGACTCATACGTCAGGCTGCGAGCAGCTGCGTCCAACAGCCTGGTTTATCAGTACGGCAATCAGGAGGCCTGGTCGACGACCGGGCCGCGGGGACGCTAAGCCCCGGAAGCACATCAAGGTAACCTCAAGGTAACCAGTCAGAAGAAAAAACAAGAAAATAGGTGTAATATAGGAAGAGGCCTAACCCACAAACATACCACCACTACAAGCAAGCAAGAGACAATTACACAACAGTGAGGAGAGAAGCAGAAGGGGGGTAGAAATAGCCTAAGCTACTCTATCCCTTTGAGATGTATTTATTGCTTATCTCAATAAACATACTTGAACTTGAACTTGAGAGAAGCAGAAAGGAACTTCAAGAAAGTTACAGCAGACAAATGTAAAACAGATCCAGGCCTTGTTCTATAAATTCATTAAAAGCAAGCTGTATGTAAAGGATAAAATTCCGAGATTGAGAACAAGAAACAGGACTATTGAGAATGAAAAAGAAATGTGTGAAACGCTAAATGAACAGTTCCAAAATGAGTTTGTACAAAATGAGCATTTCATAGAACCAGTATTTATTGGATATCTAATTATTGGGTATTGGGAATCTATGCCAATTCCAGAGCACGTCATAGAATATATAGAGATATCTCAAGACGAAGTGGAAAAATTACTCAAGGGGCTAGGAAGAAATAGCAGTGAATCTGATGGAGTTTCACCTTGGGTACTGCAAGAATGTGCAACTGAGCTGAGCATTCCACTCGAATTAATATTTTAGACATCCTTGTGCACAGGAATCTTAGCAGATATTGTATATGGAAAAAGAGAAACATAGTACCCATCTATAAAATGATAGTCGAGAAGAACCTTTAAATTATAAATCTGTATCATTAAATAACATGGTAGTCAAAAACACTAGAAACCATAGTTAAAGCCAAATGGATTGAACATCTTGAGAGTAATAACATAATACGGACAGTTAGAACAAGTGTTAAATTTAAGTACAGTGGCACCTCGATTAACGAGTGGCTCTATTTACGAGCATTTCCAGTAATGAGAGAGTCACTCGCAGCAAATATGTCTCTATTGACGAGCTTCACCTCTATTAACAAGCAAAACTACATACCACATAGTACTTCCTAGCATCTCGCGGGTTCTCGCAAATTCTCGGACACCTCCGACGCCAGTGTTGTTGTATCGCAAACGACAAGCATCCCTCTGGATTTATTTGCGCTTTTCTTTGGGTTTTTAGTGGTTTTGTGACTACAATTTGTAACGCATTATGTCACCAAAGAAGCTGCTTGCTAAATATAGTGTTATCAAGAAGAAGAAAGACACAATTACTGTGGATTTGAAGAAGGAAATTATAGCAAAGTATGAGTGTGGTGTCTGTGTGACTGATCTCACAAGGGAGTATGGCAGGTCCTCATCAACAATATACACCATTAGTAAGAGAAAAAGGAGGTTAGGGAGGATGCTGCCTCTTCCACTGAGATCAGGGAAGTGTTGGAAATGTTTGAAAAGGTGAACGCATTCTTGGAAAAGCTGCCCTGATATAGCAGTAACAACCCGGTGTGTGAACATGTTTAATTAATTTAACACTTTCGCAGGTATATGTCACTTGAGCGCAACATTTTTTTCTCTTGAATGCACCCAAACACCACGCTCAAGCGTCATTTGAACAAATATTTCTATAAAATGCAATTCTTATCCGATCAACTTGGGGATAGTATAAACATGTTTGCCATGAAATTTCCGTTTTCTCTAATAGCCACATAGCCTATTTGGGAGAACGGCATTGTATTGTATCTTCGTGTAACACTATTGTATTGTTGACACGATGAGTGTAATTGACGTAGTTTTTTATTTGGTGCCGGTCTAATGCATCCTTATGTGACATTTTATACATATGTTCTTCTAGAACATTCTATTGCGAACATATTGGTACAAAAATGAAATACAAACATCGAAAATTAAGGTCAGGACAGTGAAAAGAGAGGCAACACTTTTCAATGTTGCCTCTCGATCGCCTGAAACGCCCAGTGCACTTGGGGCAAGTTTTTTTTTTGTTTACCGAGAGCGCGAAAGTGTGATAATTTGCTGTCTCATTTTAGGAACATCCTAAAACAAAGACAAAAGCAATTGTCAATAGATACGTTCTTTGCAAAAGTAGAGAAAAGAAGAGCCAGTGATAGTGAACCACAACCCGGTCCCAGTGGGATGAAATTCCCAAGAAAAGAGAGTCCGCCTGCCTCACGAGGTGGATTCTCCTTCCACACCATAACCCCTCTCCTCCTTCCCACCTCTCCATCGTCTCCCTCAAGCCAGCAACTACTCTTCATAATGTAAAGTAAACATGAAAACAGTACAACAAAACATTTATAATTACAAGTGCAGTACAAGTATTATATTTACATTATAAAATGTCATACAAGTATGGATGTTTTTGGGAGTGGAACGGATTAAATTCATTTCCTTTATTTTAAATGGGGAAATTTGTTTCTTAAGTGTTTTTGTTTTACAAATAACAAGCTCGGTGCCAGAACGGATTAAACTCGTTAATAGAGGTGCCACTGTACATAGTATTAAAGTGTTAAAATTAAGGTTGCAGTAATTGTAGTGTACAATAGTTTTCATAAACTATATAGTAGTACTCAACATACAACACGGTACGTGTATAGTGGACAGTATTCACAACTCCATGAGAATTCAAGATGGATGTAAATCCAACAATAAGGTAAATAAAAACTAACAGTATTTTCTGGGGGGAGCCCCGTCGGCTTCCCAGAGCTTACGAGGCTAATATGCTAATGTCAGACTCTTGCATCAGTCATGTGTATGGAGTTCTGTGAGCCTACCAGGGACCATGAGCCAGAACCTGGCCGACTCAGAGAGGCATGGTAAGCAATGGCCTATACAAACCCCCGTGTGGTTGGAAGCATTCTATGTCTGCCATCGACCGGGTCAGGCACCCAGAAAGGTAAGCATCCCAAAACAAACCCCTATTCTGGTGAAATTTTGTTACCAAAAGCAAAACAAGTGGATAGAACTCCCCTAAAAGAAACGAACGACCAAACGATCATGATGTCATACGTTGCCACGCCGCTGTCTGCTCAGCTCCCCTCTCCCCAGGAGGGAGAACGGGGAGCCTCAGACCCCTCACGCCAGCTATCCACGCATCAGTTCTAAGGCTGATGCTAGAGACTGAGGTCGTATGCTCTGGCTCCGGTGGTTGTTTGTTTCAGCACTGTGCCTAGTGTGTGGTGACTGTCTTCTAGGTGGTGCGTAAACCAGGAGTGATTCTCCAGGGGCCAGATTCCCGAAAGCACTTACGCAAACACTTACGAATCTGTACATCTTTTCTCAATCTTTGGCGGCTCTGTTTCCAATTATTAAACAGTTAATGAGCTCCGAAGCACCAGGAGGCTGTTTATAACAATAACAACAGTTGAATGGCAAGTTTTCATGCTCGTAAACAATTTATTAAATGTAACCAAAGCCGTCAAAGATTGAGGAAAGATGTACACATTCGTAAGTGCTTGCGTAAGTGGTTTCGTGGATCTGGCCCCTGTACTCTGGCCAGTACTCTGGTGCCCTTTAAGTATTGCCCTTGGGGGTTTGGGGCCGCCTTCCACAAGTTCCTTGGGTTCTACTCCTGCTAGGCCATTTACTGCTTGGTTTTCGGCCGCCCTTTGTGTACTAGGGTTTTCCGTCTTCCTTGTTTGCCTTAGGATAGGGGGCAGTTTGCACTGGTAGGGGCGCAGGGTATTGCACAGCTTGTTTACGCCAA